AATGCAATGAAAGATCTAATAAAGATATTCTCTAGAAATATTTTTTCAACTCTGTAGCCTACCACACTTCGAGACCCTTGTTATTTATAACATATCTCGTCCTTATTCTTTGGACAACAAACTTATCTTTCTAAATACTCTCGTATAAATAAATATCTGAACAACGAAAAATCTAAAAAATGCATTGAATCGTATCGCTCTCTCAGCTTATCGAACTGTGTACACTACGAGTCTCAAATTTCAGCTCCGTGGTAAGCTCCACCAATTCACGGTGGGCGTTCAACATCCTAAAAATGTTTTTATTTTATTGAAAAATTACTATAAGTTTCTTAAATACGCAAATATCATAATTTATAATATAATTTTTATATATGCATGGGTCAATACATCTCTTTGGATATTTTTCATATAAAAATCAAATTTAATAGACATATTTAACTTTAGGTATCAAATATATTTTATAAAGAAGCAAAATATAAAAATGTGACAGTAATTTACTTGCTTTTGAATGGAATTTGTCAGCTGCTCCTCATTTATTCCACAGCATTCTCTAATTCTTTTTCTCTCATGTATCTGGTAATCCTTTTTTTTTTTTTAATATTTCAGACAATACAATTATTATATATTCTATATACTTCATAATCATTTATTATAATATTTGCGAAATAAAGAATTTAATACTAATTTTTCAATAAAATAGAAACATTTTTAAATAGAAAAGATATGACACGTTTGGTAAAATAAAAACAGACCACGCACCTTCTTTCTTTATTTCGACCGTCGGTKCGTTKGGACCTTATACTTTTGTCGCATACCTACGTGCTTATCTCTGTTTATTCCTTCTACCCTTCTATCACTCCTACCTACAAACCTTTCGAGTATCGAAAGAATACGTGTCCACGCTTTGTAGTATGCAGTCGCACATAATCGCACACATATACAACCAGGAGCGATAAMTACGAAGCATAGCATAAAGAGGAKACCGAGAATAGGAAAAACTGTATAGCCATCTTCCGTCTCTCTCTCGCAGGCTCAATCCTATATGTTTGTCTTTCTTTCTTAGATAAGTTTGTGGTCCAAAGAATAAGGACGAGATATGTTATAAATAATAAGGGTCTTAAAGTTTGATAGGCTACATAGTTGAAAAAATATTTCTAGAGAATATCTTTATTAGATCTTTCATTGCATTTTACAAGAACTTTCGTTTAGTCCAGCAGTATTTTTCATATGTTTTTCGTAACGTCTTTATTTCATCTATCCTAAAATGTTTGTTATATAGCGTAAGAATTTAGATGAATATAGGAAATAGAAAACCATACTAACAAAAAAGATTTTATACCTGAGTTAAAAAAAAAGGATTATTTATTTTTACCTAATTTTTGACGAATTATATTTCCTTTGATAAACATCCTACCATTTTTGTGATTATTTATAACTATCGCATTCAGCATTTCGTTTTTAATGTTTGAATTGTGAAAAGTGCACTTTTTATCAGCTATTCCACCCAGAGACCATACCGGTGACCCTTATTATATATAGTAATAATATTATAATAAATAAATCCTACAATTATCTTACTCTTAATACTGTCCATTCATCATTCTCTCGAAATTAGATTTTTGAAGGTTTCACTTCTAACACGTGTAATCTGCACACATCATTTTTTTAGTCTTGTTGCCAGCTTTTAAGCAGCTTTTAAGCAGCTCTGTGCAGCTCGAAGCTGTTTATCGATGCAATGATACATAAATAAGACTGTGTAGGGCGATAGGAGGCGCTGCAATTTGAAACATAATCAACATAATCAAGACATATCGAAAATTTTACAATTATCGTACAAAAACTCAAATTTTTGTACATCTTTGTCACATAATCAAAGTTGGATCGTACAATGCTTTAAATTATGTTACGTGTACGATAATTATCTACGCATATTTATGCTATAAGTA